GCAGGATTCACACCAGTATCACATTTTTAACTTTTAACACTTTTGGTTTTATTAAAGGAAATATCAGATTTTCTCAGGTGCCAAAACAAAATGTAACGGCTCTGTAAAGGCTCACCAGAGAGCAGAACATAAAGTTAACATGACTATAACAGCTGAATGCGGCAATTTCCATGTTGCTCAGCAAAACGCTTCACAACTTTATTTAGATCCAATGCCTTTGTGCGTTTTGATTTGAGTACGACCAAACTGATCGTCTCGTTTCTGTCATAGTTGACCGCAAATATGTCTTTATGAGCCTGAGACATCAGGCCTAACTAACATCATAGATAGAGAAATAACGTTCTGCAACCTGATTTTTATCATCTCAAAATCAGCATTGCAGCTATGCTAGCAACATTGTGCTTTCATTATGATTTAATTTCTTGATAGATAGTTAATCAATTTTTACCTGTTTCATCCCGTGTCTCCTCTCCCCATCACCCCTGGCTCCCTCGCTTTGCCCCATTCGGTTTTCAAAACAATCAGTCTCAGTCGCTCTCGCGTCATCTCGTGCTGCATTCACTGCAGTCCGACATTGGAAATTAGCGGTCGTAATTCTCAAATGATCCATAATTTATAAGCCTCGCCACCCCTACCGCCAACAGCAGCTGGGGTGGCAAGGCTGTCATTTAGGGTGGCATTTGCCACCCTATGCCACCCCAGTAGATCCGCCTATGGGAGCCTCTAATTATGAAGCAACAGATCTCATCACAGTTCCACAGTAGTTTGTATTGCCATCAGTAAAATCTGCAAGTTTTTTAGTTTAGCTTGTAGAAGCAGCTCTTCAACTTTGACTACACCATTCCAGTACCAATATGTTTCAAATAAATAATTTCCTTGTAGCTCTCATTGCACGGTTAATGTCTCTGTGCTGCTGGCATGTGAACCAATCTCCCTCCTTCACAATCATCCTGTATTCAGCTGCATTCATCTTTATTAAAGTCATTCTAGTTTCAGGGATAGTTTCAAGGGATACTTTATTGTATGTCTCATTCCATGTCTGTTGGTTTTGCTGTTCTTTTTACATCTCGTTGCAGGTGATAAGGCAGACTGAAAATGTTTTATTATTATCTACTTTCTATCTCCTCTTTCTTTCATCTTTTCTCCTTTTTTTCTGTTTTTCTTCTTTGATTCTTTATACATTACAGTGTCCATATAATCTGTAAAACTCCCTGCATACAGTAATTATAATAAAGCAATTTATATGCATGAAACAAGCGGAACACTATGGCTATAGCCCTACTGCTCCACTTGTGAAAGTAAAATCTGTTGGGCTCTTTTTGGCATCAAGACAATTATTCTTATTGCCACATTGCCAGACAGGACACTGTAAAAAAAAAAAAAAAGTAATTCTAGTTTTATCCTAACTTTCACTATGAGGCAGTGTATTTAAAGAGACTTGCAGAATAAGTCTCAGATAGTGCTTTGGATATAGAATATAAAGTTCATTCTTTTGGCATCTGATCTATTTCATAATTGCTTCTATATCTGTCTCCTGTGTGGCTTGTGCCAAACTTCAACTACATTTTGCATTTTTTTTTTAAATATTGACTTCCTTATTCAGTTCCTCCACAATCCCATCTAGTAGTTGACTTGTCGTGTTTTGTGGTGTGTGGTAAAAAATTAGGTGGTTTGATCAACTTACCTGTCTTTTTGTTTCATTTAGTTAAACACAACCTCTTCCTGGACAAGAGAGAACCGATGAATAAAACACAGAAAAACTTAAATTGTTAAAAGTGAAAACATGAAAAAAATTGCGTATTATCAATTCAGCCTCAATAACTTTTCATTTAGAAGAAGCAACACTGAATGAGATGAGTGCCGTTAAGTTTCAAAGTTTCCAGAAAAACGTTCCAGGATGAGGCAGGCTGAGAGAAGCAAAGCCTTCTTGCCCAAATCAGTCTGAGTAAAAAAGACAGAAAGAACAAGTTGTTTGAGCGAAAAGGTCTACGGGTCGACATTTCTCAGAGCTATTCCAGTACAGATATAGACTAGATCCAATTAATGCCCTGCAAATATAAGTTAACCAGAGGAAATTCCTTTGTGCAGCTTAGCAGGTCATCCCATGAATATAAATCACAACAGTGTGTTGACATTTTGCAGTTTATAATGAAGCTCAGAGAAGAGAGATAGAGTTAAGCACCCTAAGGCATGGTGATGAAGCAATCATACTCTAAAGACCTCTGTTGTCCATCACAGACACTAAAGGCATCCCCTACACCTATGATATTAAAGGATAGTGTGAATTCCCACTTTCTGAATGTCTGTGCAGGTAAAAAAACTCTCCTACCCGACATGTAGTGAAAGAATCTCCTCAAAAAGCTTAAGAACTCTCCTCTTCTCATTATAAATTAGTTAAATACTTGCTATCTTCTCATATTGTATGGTGAAAGCAGGGGAGCTACAATGAATGGCCGACACCAAAACTAACAGGATACATATGAGGCACTCCATAACCATTTCTCACCAGTTGAGTTGATGCCATCTCAGAGGTAAATGCAACACAGTTTTTAGCTTGTAGAACCTCATATTCTCCATAGCTATTAGGCCAGCTGTTATACCCAGAGCAATGTTTAACAGTATACTCAGAGGTACACTCCACATATTGTCATCTCACAAGTAGCACCAGAATGATACTTAATACAACATAATAGAGAACCTCTACAAGCGGTTGAAATGGGAACGTTACCATCCTGTCATACCAACTTTCTGACAGGTAATTCTGACTTTCAGGCTTCCAGCTGAAATGTAGAAATTGGACTTTGGAAATTGCCCCTTTCCATTGACATGGAATGCACTAATAAACACTAGAAGCTTGCATGTGCAGTAGAGAAGGAGCGTGTCACAAATATTGGCATGCAGCACAACAAATAGATAAGATGATCCACCTGTAACTCAGAGCTGAAAGTCCACTATGCCTTTAACAGCCTTTCATGCTAGTTTATAAAGGCTCCATTGGAAACGATTGTGCATCACTGAGTGCACCAAAAATCATCCACAGCCATGAAAAAAAGACTCAGCGTCACAATCTATTGCAAATATTTTTCAAGGAAGTTGTCTCCAGGGAGGAAAATATTTCTAAATTAGATAATTTTTTTCTCTTAATAAATGAATGATCCTTTTATACTATATGTATAATTTACTAGTTGTATCTTTATCTGATATTAAAATGTATCGAAAGTTAAAAAAAAAAAAGCAAAAAACTGAAGAAATCTGCAGGCTGCTTCAAACAGTTTTTCACAGCATTGCTGAAAAGGAAAATTGAAGCTGGAAGTCCAATTTACCAGATTGTATGTCATCTTGAGGGGAAAAGGTTTTTTTTTTCCTACAAAATCCTCCTTTGATGGAGAGTAAAAAGAGTGTCCTCTCTTTGCAAGATGAAAAAAGAAAAAAAAACGGGCTGAGCTTTTTGTCTCCATGTTGCCTGAAGGTGAAAGAGAAAGGTAGAGCAGGAAGGAGGATGAGAGCGAAGCTTCGGTAGGAGAGGAAAAGTGAACGTGATGAATGAAGGAGGAAGAACGAGTAGTTGGTGTGTGTATGTGTGTGTGCTTGCAGAGTGTTAGACAAGCTCAGTCTGACTGCAGAATCAGTGTGCAGACCCAAACCCAGCCACACCCCTCCCCCTTCCCCCAGCTCTGGATCAGCTCCTTGCTTGCTGCTACAAGATTACCCTCATTAGAAATGCAAAGCAGGCCAATTAGGAGCAGAGTGAGCAGGAAGTGACACGTTCCACCTGAAAAAGCCCACAGAACAGACAATGTCAATGTACACAGACTACGATACATCACTGCTGTGTAGATCTCAGCACACTTTTATAGGCTTATTAGTTAGAGCTCAGGAAAAAAAAGTGAAAACAACATTTTAATGTGTGAATCCAGGCTGAGGGGAATTCAGGATCACATCAGTCTTTGCATCAACTTGTGTTTTTTTCTCACCAACGTATTGCTGTGAAAATGGTTGCAAACAAATGTTGTTAGTTTTCGATTTGATCCACCTCAGGAAGTGTCAGACTGTTTCCCGCTGGTGGATTAGGATCAGGTTCAATAGTAGAATACAATGCAGTCTGTACTGCTTTTGACAGACCTGGAGTTTCATCATGGCATCAGGGAGAAGGAGAGCATCTATGAGTTTAACAAAAAAAAAAAAAAGGATTCTCAGAGAAGGAAATATACAGCCAGGAAGAATTATACTAACCAGACAGCCGTCTGCCTCTTCAAGTCTGCCTCACTAATATTAGCACTGAAGCACATCAATACGTGGGGTTCAGATCTCTCTGCCTGATATTCAGGCTCTTTTAATACTTTGATATAAAACTGTGGTAACAGGAGATATTTGGATTTTTATTGAACAAGAAGACACTGATCTGTGACATATATGTAAAAGAAAATTCTTAGTTCCTCATGAATTAACCTTTTTAAAACAATTAGATCAAATTTTAATCCATTCTAATTTTAATCCTTGAGTTCTACAATTTGTGTACTGAATGTGTGTGGAACTTCGCTGTTTGTTCCTGTAGAGTTTTTTTTAACTGTTAAGGACCTGTCTGGAAATGCACTTTCTCATTAGAAAAAAATAGATGAGTCATTTTGTCCCTCTAAACCTCTAAAAGGTTTCATTTTAAGCTGTCCATGACAGTCTGATGGACAGCTGTCATGTTAGCAATCCTTCCAAAGATTGTTTTGCCTATAAAATAGCATCTCTGAATTTAGAATCTAGTATTCAAACTCTATCTGATTAGATTTTTTTTTTTTTTTAGATTAAACCCAACAGAAATGTTCACCTTCAATACATCAACCTGAGCTTCTTACATTTATACATTTCATTTTACTCAGTGAACTAAGCTACTAAAATAAACTAACCTTTCCTATAGGTTCTAAATTATTGACATGTACATGTATACTGCAGACCCAATTTCTTCTCAGTCATTTAAACATGTTCTCTTTCTTTTCTATGTCTTGTAGGTGCTGGTTTGGCACACTCGCACAGAGAAACCACACCTGGCAAATGAGCCCAAACTTAAGAAGGACACTGTGGACATCGAGGTGTGACTGCAGCCGTGCGTCACGCCTCAGCGTTACATCCTGAATGGAGGGGCAAAGACTCTTAGGATCTGCATGATTCATGACTCTCTGCTGTTCATCCAAATAATTTCTTGGGGGAACTGGACTCATTTAAGAGAACTGGAACATCTTGGACCATTTGTTTTCTTCCATCTGCTTCCTGCTGATGTAAATACAAAAGTAAATGTAATATATTGCGCTGCTGAACAGAGTGCCATATGTGTCTCTTTTAATCATTGTGTTGTCAAATTGACTGTGGGACGATGTATGAAGAGGTCATTTAGATTAGGGCTGGGCGATATGAAGAAAATCTTATATCGCAATGTATTTGGGCTATATCGTGATATACGATATATATCACTATATGTTTAAATTACCTGCATAAACAGTAGAGTGCATAAAATTGCACTGATATACTCATTCAAACTTTTGGTTTCAAATTTAAAACATTTTGTTTTAACCAGCAGAAAGCTTTTCACTAATACCGGTAATTCTGCCACATTATGTATTTGGGTGTCAGTATTAGATCTTTAGCAAGATCCTAGCAACCAAAGAGGATACAATGCAAAAACGGTCTTTGGTATATAATTTAAAAAAAATTCAGAATGAACAAAGAAATTGACCTTAAATTAGTAAAAAGAAAGTGGAAATACTGTTCAAAAAATTAGAGCAAAATCAGACCATCTCGAAACTATTTGCATTGACCTTTAGGTGCTGGGAATTTTAAAGAGCACAAAAAGTTGTAAAATTGAGAATATTGCAAAGTTTAGAGAACGGCTGCAAAACTTCTGAACAAGACCACATCACATCACAGGTAGAGTATCTAAAAAACATTAAACTATGTAATAAATAGGGTCAGTGATTTCCCTTTTTTCTCTCATATAGAATTGCTTTTTCAAATCATGAGCCACTACACAGCTGATTTATTTAACCTTTTAACTGGTGGGAGATGCTGACATGCAGAGTTTACAACATTGTTCATTTTGCAGCGGATGACTTTTCAGGTGGTGGAATAAATTTGTACTCCTACCTTTTGCAGCAATGGTTTTTGCGTCATTTCTTACAAATTAGCGGCTTTTGTTCGACGACCTTTGCATGAAATCCAAACCATTGCCATATATTACTTAGCTGAAACACTTGCTGCCGCCATATTTCCTTTGCGGGTTGCTGTAGTCTGCGTGCCACGCAAAATATAATCCCCTTTGGAGGAGGGTTTTATGATGCACTCAAAGTGTGTGGGGAAAAATAAAATTCAGTGAAATAGAAGCAGAGAGCTTAAAGTCGTCATGAAAATTTGTACTAGATGGTTGCAATAGTCATTTTAACTATGGTGTGTGGAAAAACTTGAGATAAATTGAGTATATTCTATATATCGCCCACCCCTAATTCAGAAAATCTGTGATTGCTTACTTTGATCATGTAAAAGCTGGTGTTTTCTGTTTTGGAACTGCTGTTAATAAAACATGCTCAGTTTCATTCCCCTGGAGTATGAATGATCATTATTCTGGGAAAAATTAACTTGGTTTGCTTTTGGTTGATAAAATCTACCTGACATGCAGATCCATACCATCTGTAACTATGGAAACATGCAGCTTCTCCTCAACCACTCGTGTTTGTGTTTTATTGGAATGACAAACTTTCCACCATTCTCTCCTTAGCTGCAGATTCAGGGCTAATCCAGTCAACCTTAACGTTGAGTTTGGTTTATGTCAAACTGCTATCCTCCATCTTTGGCTTCCTCTGTTAAATTTATGATTGTTCGAGTTTGGTTTCTGCTCCTTTTGATAAAAAAATTTTTAGGCTGAGAAATCCAATATAAGAAAAGGTTTAAATGTGATTCCAGCGACATTTTCAACCACTGTTGCTAAGCTCTATGTGATAATCATGTTGCAAAATTTTCTCAAAACCAGTTGACATTTAAAACAAGCTACTATGGAAACTAACCACTAACTTTAATAGATAAGACCTGATTTTAGAGTTTTGGAGTTTCAAAAATGATGTTAAGTTCTACTAAAGGTGGAAAAACCGACTGGATTCTACTGAAAAGTCATAATTTTCACTGGAAAGGTTTTCTCTCCTTCGAATTTAATTCTGATAACTTCTGATAGTTTGGGTCTTAGTGAATCAAAGATACATATAATTGTTCTTTAAGTGTGTTTGGATACATTCTTTGTTGGCCTGTTGCTAAAGTTAGAATTGGTGTGGCAGAGGAAATCCTTTAAACTCGTTATGTTATGACCATCAAATGACATTCTGTCCTCAACGGGTTCTGAATTCTGAGATCACTGCAATGCAGCGTCAAACCATATTTTAGAAGCTTCTTTCTTTTTTTTCTCTTTTCTTTCCAGCTTTTATTGTCATCACGCTGTCACAAGTACAGAGCAACGAAATTAACTCTATACATTTAACCCATCCCCTTGGGTAGCAGTGGGCTGCCATTGTGCGGTCATCGAGGAGCAGTGTGGGGTTAAGGGTCTTTGCTCAGGGACAGAGAGTGGCAGTCTGTTGGAGTGGGGCTCACACTCAGAACCTCAGGATTCTAAGCTCGATGCCCTTACCACTAGGCCACCACTCCCCCTAGAAGTTTGATTAACTGGCATCACACTACCTGCGGCTTTGTCAGCCACAATCAAATTAAAATGCAGGACAGAACTGATTATTTTTTAAGATCGACATGAGTTTTTACTGATATATAAATGGGTAATAAAAAGATGGAAAGATAAGATACACAGACAGTGGACAGGATGATAGAAGACTGCACGGAAGACAGCTGGATTGATGAGTTATATGCAGTATTAAGCACTGGATTGATGAATGGATAGACGATTGTGGGTGCAAAAAGTGGATTGATGACATCTGGGTCAACAGATAAATGATAAGGTGGACAAAACAATGGGAGGATGCAAAGATGGACAGTTGGATAATATTAGACTATAGAAAAATATAGTATCTCTTCCCACACTTATTAAAACCTGTTTTTGAAATCAAATATTTCCAAAACCCATTAGATGAGGAGACTAGCTTCTAGACTAGACTAGGGACTGTTAAACACATGGTGGAACTGAACAGACTAGTCCTTTCAATATTTTAGTCCCTCTGACGGGGAGCATGGATGTGTGACAGTGTTTATGCAGGAAATAAAACACTAATGAAGGATTCAAGAGAATTTATTCAAATTGACCCTTTCATTAATTTTAATAGAACAAAAATGAGCAATCAAAATTCAACATCATACATAGTCAAAGGTCATAAGACAGAGATACATACAGGACTCTTCCATTACAGTGTTATATTCACAGACATCCTAATCGCACCATAAATAGACCTGGAGAATTTTATTGAAATGTTCACATAGAGTTCTACAGTTATTGCATGGTGGAAGCAGACATGTCTAGCTTTAATAGAAAAGAATAGGACCCATCCAAGATTTTCATGCAGGTCCTTCTTTTCCAATCAGTATTTAGTCTAGCTTCCAGGTTTATTCATTGCAGATTGTTTCTCTTGCACCACACGCAAAAAAGCACGACAATAAAGATGGCAGACAGCAGAATGATTGAGTGTCACATGGGTCCTGAATAGCAGAAAGGTGGCAGCCGGAACAGTTGGATGCCACTAAAGAGTTTAGATGATTGTCAGACTGCTCCTTGAAAACCATCTGAAAGGCTGGACCCCAACATAGCAGATGTAAACTCCCTGATTTACAAGGTGCAGTAATGGCAAACACTCTTGAATTCAGCTGTGGCTAAAATAGCTGCAAGGAGTGTGGGTTGGAAATGGCTCTTCAATAACCAGTGTTGAACTAATTTTATTTTTAGAACATCACAGATCAAGTCACCTGAAATACCCAGAGGACCCATAGGTGCGCTCAGCAGTATCTGCAGCTTTAAAGATACTGTCAGTATTTCAGCTGTTTGAGAAACAGAGCTTCATAAAATGCTTTGCAGGTAGAGAATGATGCCTGCTGTGTGATTTCAAAAGGACAATCAGCCAGAGGATGGAATGATAATCTTTGTGAGGTATTAAAAGCATATTGGGTTTGTTAATGTGTGAACTAAACTGTGATGGTTTGCAAAGGCTTTGGAGAATGTACAAAACTTTGTAGCAAGGTTGTGATGACACCATTGAGAATGTGGAGCAGGACTCACCATGTTGGCCTATGGCCTGGGCAATGACCCCATCAAAACCACAAGGGGCTCCAAGTAGGTCACTGCGACAGAGTGGCTGCAACAGGTATCAGATTAAAGCAGCAAATTCCATCAGTTTACTTTTAATTTAAGCAATTTTGGCCTCTTAAAAAGCGAAGGAAAAAGGTTTTGTCCAATTCAATTCAGTTCACCTTTGGCCAAGATGAGGGTCCTGCTCTGGAAGAAATAGCACATAACATCTTTCTGACATATTAAGAACTTTTTTTGTTCACATTAAAACATTCACATTTTGCACTATGGAATGAAGCTGAAGCCTCCGATACAGTATTAATTGCTGTAACTCTTTAGTTTTTTTCATGTATCTACTAATATAAAATGTATTAGTTAAAGCATTTCATTATTAATATTTATAAATAAGAAATGTTGTTAAATGTCACTAGTTTATAAACAAATCTGACTTAAATTTTATCTTTTGAATCTGTTTTTTTCACTCTTGGTTGGTCTGTGAGATGCTGTCTGGTTTCTATTGTCCACAGGAAACCATTGAGATCTTTCAAAGCACATCTCTTACTATCTTCAAGTGAAATTAAACCAATTTACAATCTAATCCAAAACTAGGTCACTTCTGAAAGCATTGGAATTTATTTATTGGCGTCAGAATAATGCCTGACTAATCTTTCTTGCTGGTTTATAGTTATGCACCAATTTGAGTTGCTCCGTTACATTAAATCCCAATAAAATATGTGGTTTTAATGCAAATAAGTTTAGGGGGTTGATACTTTTCTAAATAATAACATAGAGCATATATCAGAGATCTAAGAATCATTCTTGGTCCAAGTGTTAACCCTGGGTTGCAGTACATGTTTAAGATACAAGGGGGTATTTAGCAATTACTAATAGTATAACAGCAACATGCCTGCTAAATATTTCCGAGTTTGATTCAACCTAGCACCATTCTGAAAAGCTCTGCATAGAGATCTTAGTGGTCATCATTCAGAAAATCAATTCAGAAGACGGATTAAAATGGTTCTGCAACATAAAAACACAAATAATCAAATGAGTGTTTTTCGGCCACAGCTCTGTTTTTCCGTCAGATATAGTTTGGCTTTGCATAAAAAGACAAAGCAGACAAAAGGCTGTAAGCCCCACTCTGTTGACAATAAAATGAAGTAAAATGATTATGATGAAAGCTGCTGGTGGTACAGAGAGGGGTCAGGTTAGATGTTCAAGAACAAGATCATAAACAGCCAGAATCACTGACTGAAGCACAAAAGCACCTTTAATATTTTATATGTGGAATGAACAGGGTACGACAGTAAGATTTAGAGCTGCTGT